ATATATATATATGTATATATTTAGGTTACAATATAAAAAATGTTGGTCATACTCATGTCTTGTGATTATTTGACAGGAGTTTTACTTTTAAACTGTAAGTGTATTTAATTTAGTTATAATGCAAATACAACACAAATTAAACCAAGATTTAGAATAATTATCATTTTGATCCATACATTGGTAATGTCTGACTGGGCCTTGTGTCACTTTATGCTCAAAATTGGGCCCCGAGGTCAAAAAGTTTAAGAACCCATGAGCTAGATCAACTCACTAAGCGTTGTGGGTGGACTTGTTTGATTATTTTAGTTCCAGGAGGGCAAATTCAAGGCAAACATTACCTATAAATATAAAGGTTACAACATTACTTTGACACGATTGTTTTACTTAGATACCTATTATTATATCCATGATTTTATTTTTTACCCCATTGATTATTTTTTTTTGTTGGAAAATGTTTTGAACAAAGCAAAACTTATTAACATCTATATTTGATTCAAATTAGGCCCTCTAAATGAAATATTTCAGATTGTACAGCCTTGGAAATGCCATGTAAAGTGAATTTTGACATTAATCAACTTCACCATGATGTTACAGAGCCAACACCTGCAGCAAACAACATGAAAAACCATCACTTCTCCCAACTCCTTACCATGCAGCGGGGATCCAGAGGGGCTGCTGGACAATCCAGGTATGGGACTACAGCGGCCCCCCACACCTCCTCCTCCACCCAGAATGCAGCTGCTCCCTCCTATGCCTCCTCCCGCTCCTCCTCCAAGTCCAGCCGCCTTGTTGAGCTCCTGCTCAATATCCTCCAGGCCAGCGCTCTTTTGGAAACGGGACATCCGGTTTACCACCCGCTGTGACATGTGGGTACGGGCGCAGGGTGTACCACCATACGGGTTGATGGGAAAAACATGGGTGGTGCCCCGGAGGGTGCTGATAGCTACCCAGCGGCTGTCCTGGCTGAAACACATGTCTTGAACCTGAATCAGAAAAAAAGCAGAAAGGACAAAAAAAAAAGTGTGAGACATAAGAAAGTTTAAAAAAAACATAAAAAGCAGAAAAGGAATAGGGCTATCATTGGATTATTTGTTCAAAACTTAGAGTCTTTTATTTGTTACAGATCGTTACAGAAGAGTAAAGAATGGGAACCACTAAAACCTATATACATGGCTCCACACAAAATGTGAAATCTAATGGTGGAGAAACCTTGAGGTTTAATGAAAACTCAGTGCATCAGGTATCTAATTCCACTTCCAAAGTTAAATAAAGATAATAAAGTTATTAACCAATTTAAATACTTGATTCTGAAAAGGACTTCTTCTGAACTTGCATGTTAAAACAGAACATCTCTCACTTTTTACCTAATTGTCTGAAAACAAACCCGTCCATCCTGTTTTTATGCACACGTCATCTTTTCAGGGGCGCAGGGAGCTGGCACCCATCTCCACTGGTCACCAGGTGAGGGTGGGGTACAGCATGGACAGATTAGCAGTTCTTTAAAGGGATCCCTGATTAGTTGTAACATTAGATTTTATTTAATAAACATATATTTTAACTGTAAAATAAAGACTGTAAAAATACTGTAGGCTGTTTAGTTTTTATCATTTTTAAACTAAAAGTTTAAAAATATATTACACAGACGGGGCCATTTTATTTACACACAAAGCATTCTGGGTAAATGATGACGTGGATAGGTCCTCGGTGCGAGGCTGCTAGTGAGCTATATCCACCCTGAAGGTTAATCTTGGACAATATCTGATGATTGACTCTTTTAAATGAAACCAGAGAGCGTTGACAGAGAGGAGAAGGTAGAAATGACTCAGCCTGGAACTGAAAATATAGATGGAGGACAACAGAGCTGCTTCATGGAAGAAGAACCTCAGCTTAAAAAAGTATTAAGTAAGCATTAAGCCTTTGAATACATATCTTTTGTCTAACATATTTTGAAAATATGGAAAAGCCTTTGTGTTTTCTTCACAATCAAGATTTACATGGAGGAAGTAAACAACATTAAATTCCAGCAAACATTAGTGTGACCAGATTGAAGTGTTTATTATGAGGGCAAACACATTTGACTGTGCTGCAGGACAACAAACAGGCCAAGTGAACAGGCCAAAAGGATTAGGCAATAACCTTGTTTAAAAGGTGACAATCTGATTTGAGCCTGTTCGGTGGTAAAATAAATGACTGAGAACAGACAACAGCAGAGATGGCAMCTTTTGTTAGTTCTTCCCAGACTTTCACAAAGCACACACTTGACAAGATAGGATCTCCCTGAGCATGTTAGACATGCAAGAAACCAGACAGATAGGCTGCAAGAGACAAGCTGAGAGGAGAGTTAATGAAGACAGACAAAAACGGTGAGTGGACAAACTATATAGGTGTTCGCTAAAACAGAAATTGTGATTCATTACGCTAAGAAAACAAAACAAGACACTAGATAACATCACAGGACAATGGAGACAAAGGCCCAGTTTACACAAAGCCATTGTTGAATGAAACCATAGCATTTCAGCTCTGGTTCGGCCAGTTACATTGGACGCTTTAGGAAACCCCCTGCAGATGTGTGAAACTGCTATGGGCGGCTGCAGTCAATAGTTGTTCTGTGCAAGTAGATGAACAACAGTAACAATAGCGGAAAGCAGAGTACTCTTTGTGATGCTTACCCTGTTCAACATGTTGAAACAACCCAACCTCAACCTCGGTTCAAACAAACATCCATGTATTAACCATTTCAAATGTAATGGTTTAATGCTCGAGACTGAACTGTCTGCAAGCATTTGTGTCTCATTGAAACCTAAAACATTACAGCACCAGTGAGTGACCTGGCATCACTAGCTGCGTTTTCATTGCAAATGTGCGCAAAACTTTGTCGATATTCTGTTAATGTCGAAAACACAGTTTCRCAACTGYKGTGTTTCCATTAAGTAAGAAATGCTATTAAAGTCACGTGAATACGTTTGTTCTCGCGATAAGTCATTAAAAACATGGCGGAAATGGACGTAAACACATAGCATGTTGCTACCATGACACTAGCGCTCATTATTAGAGGAGACGTCGACATCTTTTATCGAGGCTTTCCAGAGACAAGTCCCTACTTGGGAGCGGCTACGTATGCTGTGTTTTTGGGAAATTGTAGTCAGTGAGTTTACTACTTTCTTTTACTACTTCTGTGATATTACTATTTCTACTTCCTGTTATCTTCTTCGTCATTGTCTTTTTCACCAGTAGATACAGCTGGTTGTTGATCACGTGACTCCTGTGATGCAAAATAAGTGTTTCCATTGCAGTTTTGAGAAAAACACCAATTTCGATGCGGCCGAAAAACCACCTCATCCTAGCGCAAAAACATTTTGTCGAAAAATGTAATTTTTTTCGAAATTGACGTGTTTCCATTGAGCAAATTTATTTTCAAAATTCTAATTTGCGCATTTTTATGGTCAATGGAAATGCAGCTACTGCTGCAAGGTATACATTTATTACCAATTTTTTAGATTCTTTAAGGGTCAAGCCCCTCTCCTTTTTTTGTGCACAAGTTCCACAATCACAACACATATCTCATCTTACAAACTCCCTCATCCAACAAAAAGTGGACCCTCACACAGCATATTTGATATTTTGGGTCAAAATACATTAATTTTAAAGTGACAATCCAATATTCCATCATTTCCTACCTGGCAACCCTGACAGACTAAACAAGCACAGCATTTTCCAAACAAACCTTTTCCTTTTTTATGTTTATTTGCCACAATAAACACTGAAAAAACACTAACGCTTCCAGAGATCGTTGATGTGTCAACAGGGCCAAAAGGTTCAGGAGAAAGTTAGTCAGAGGAATGTCAAACTCTAGTGAGGCAGTCAGAAAGACAGCTCTGTACCTGACGTCCTTTTTAATCTGCTGCCAGGTCCTTTTACGTAATTGTCCCCTGCAATGACACTTAATGGGGTATCCTTTGCATACCAGATGGCTGCTTGACTTCACAAAGATGAGTGAAAGAGGAGGCCTGACCTCTGCTGTGTCCATAAGAGATGGTTCAGAGACGATAAAGGACTACTTTGTGTTGGACATAATTGACCATAATAGACCTGTCAGAGTTTCGACTGTAAAAATGTGCTTGCATATTTACTGTCAAATTCATCCTGAAAAGGTGAAGGGGTATGTAGAAGGTGGCTGGGATTTTACACAACCATTCAACTGCACACCCATTGACAAGTGTTATCTCAAAAATATGGAATGCAACAGTATTTAAGTCATTTGATGTGAAGGCAGCACATTCCACAGACGCTGGAAAGGCTGCGCTCCTGACCTTATGCAATGTACTTGATGACATCTGTGACAAACAGAACGATGTCAGAAAGATGTGATGCTTCTGTTTTACCTTTTAAATCAGTCACACTGGTTAAGACTAGGCATCTCTATTTATCCCCACAGGAATGATGAGAATGTGACAGAGATGAACACAGATAGGACAGAAGAAAAACGACTACGTACTCTCAAACAAAAACATGGATGGATAAAGTCAATACAACTACCGTATTTATTCAAGCATAATACGTAAAATTAAATCCATAAAATCATCCATAAAGTTGGGGGGGTAGTACTATACTAGGATAAATATTTTTACTTATGTATTTTAACTGAAATATCGGCTTCATTCACAAAATGCCTGAGTCCGGAAATGAGACCGCGTCGTAAAAATCAGTTGAAACGAGCTCACCTCTGACACTTCTCTGTGCTTCCAGATCCAGGCAGGTGACATGATGTGAAAAAAATGGGGAAAAAAGCGGTCCTGCACCTTAGTAATGATAGCGAACTAATGACATTAGCGTGTGACCGGGCTGCTCCTCGAACAACAACAAACACATGTTTGTCTGTAATGGCTGCTGTCTACCGGTGTTCTGAAAAAGTTTGTATCCCCGAAAAAAGGTTTCCCCACCAGAGGGGACGCTCACGAGTAGGAAGTAATCTGCTTTTCCCCCACAAGATGGTCCAAATCTCATGTGAAGTCTCTGACTTTTGTGTTGGCGCCTCCTGGTGGACTATGTGTAAAATGCCAGAATTCATWTGATGCTGCTACAGCTGATATATATTTGTTGTCAAAATACCTTTTAGTACATATGTTGTTAAAATAAAATGAACAGTCCAATGATCATTTTACTGATATGTATAAAGACTGCAAAGGCTGAAAAATCTTGGTCTGTATGAAATTGGAGGTAGTTTGAGGATTAATTTTTTATACTTTTTAAGCTCAAAAAAGGGGGGTCGTATTATACATGAGATCATATTATACACAAATAAATATGGTAATAACAGCAAAACTGTGGTTTATCATTTTACTAATACTGCTCTCCATTGGTGTGATATTATGTTGGGGCTACCTTAAAAACAACTGTCAGTTTTGAACCATGGATTGCAAAACAATCTCGTTTCAAAGAAATGCATAGATATTCCAGTAATACAGTTTCTGGTGAAACCGGTCCCCATAGTCAGTGATTTAACCACATCACCAAAAACAGCTAAAGAGGCTGTACAGTTTACAAGCCAGCAGTGCCACCTCTGTAACCTCATGGAGTAGTGCTCACAGGCTTGTCGTTCGACTGAGCTCGTCCACACCCACACCCTCAGCCCGGTCCAACCATTATCAGCCGCAGGTCTGTTTACCTGGCCTCGGGTCACTGGCAGCCGGCCACATGTTTGGTTGCCGGAGACAGATAAGGCGTTTCTCCGCCCACCTTACTGAAGACTTTATCACTCTCCACAGTGTTTCTGAGTGTGACTGTGTGTCTGTGTGTGTGTAAGTGAGCACACGGTGATAACCTCTGGCCCAAGCACCGGGCCGCAGTCAGCGTTCAGTGTTTACAACTGGTTGGATCAAAGCAAGCTTAAAGTGCAGCCGGTCAGCGGTCTGAACTGCAGACAGGCTCTGAGAGTTTGTGTGCTTTCACAGTCAATAATCCTGAACCGAACAAGGTCTTAAAGTAGTTATGTTGAGTAAGCACTCCCACCTTACACTRGAAATTTGCGTTGCATGATTCTAAGTGGAAGAAAAAGCTCTTAACTTTGACTGTTTTGTCTTTTTTTTTAACAAGGATGTTGTATTTTAGTTTTATTTGGTCCCATTTTAAGCTATGAGATAAAGTAGATCCAGACCCAGGTAAAGTTTTAACTGAACCCAGATTAGTTGTTAAATTATGCACACATTTTCCCACACTGAATGATTAATTTCAAGTGATGCTTCTTTTATAGCATTGACAATAAAATATAAAGCTATCTTTTGCTCTCCAATAGGAGGTTATTCTTTGAGCAAACCGTTATCCAGTTACATCCTTTWCCTTTAAGATATAATTAAAGGTTCCTCGATTTCCTCCATGCACAAACACCCTCAGGCCAGACCTGCTCTTGTGTATAACAAGGAAGTGCTCCAACTTGTGGTTCTAGCTCAGGCATGGGGAATYCTGGTCCTGGAGGGCCGCAGCCCTGCAGGTTCTACTTGTTTCTCTGCTCTAACACACCTGATATGACTGAACAGATGATTATCAGGCTTCTGCAGTAGTACAGAGGATCAAAACTGACATACCGTATTTATTAAAGTATAATATGACCCCACTTTTTTGAGCTTAAAAAGCATACTAAATTTAATCCTCAAACTACCTCCAATTTCATACAGACTTCAAGATTTTTCAGCCTTTGCAGTCTTTATACATATCAGTAAAATGATCATTGGACTGTTCATTTTATTTTAACAACATTAGTACTAAAAGGTATTT